TACTCTCGGTACTTACTATTTGAGTACTGGTATTGGATTCTCCTTCAGCGGAAAGATGGAATTGACCATGCACACTGACTCCTATTCAAGATATGGATACTAGACTGTCCTGCATATGAGACGGATTGTTCTTCTAGCCTACATCGACGGGACTCAACTCCTTACTCTCTTCCTTCTATACCTATTTGAAAGTCAGGAATAGCAGACTTGTTCACCTATTTCCTTACTAGAGCAGATACTTGAGGACATAATGCAGCCCGTGTTACTGGTGTGTGAAAGGATAAGCGGTAGTGCCCCACACCCGTGATGCACTTCCTTGCTTTCAGGTATATCTCCAGATAGATAGGGTTTTCTCTCTTGTTTAGTGCTTCTCACTCTTTCCTCTCAAACGGCGATACCTTAGCAGCATTTGGCCCATCCCAGAGTGAAACTCCCTAACCAGATTCCGAAACTAAATGAAGAAGAACTCCTAAACGCAGAAAAGACACCTGCGACTGCAGCTACTTACTTGGCTTTCATCCCTCCTTATACTTATTCATGAGGCTTCACTTGGCATAGATGCCAGGGCCTTGTTCTGACTTCCGAGACTCATCTATCCTATTACTGAGAAAATTCCCTACTTGGAGTGAGAATCCCTTTATCCCGAAGCAGCGGCAGAAGCGGTTTGATCTCTTACCTTTTGCTCATATCCCAGAGACTCGTCTGCAGTTAGTTTCTCATTCGAATATGAATAATCAACAAGGGCACCTTCTCTCTTTACCTTTACTGGCTTTAATGACACTGCAGGGGACGCAGCAACAGACTCTTTCCCCTCAATCGCCGGGGGCTATTATCCGCTCACTCCCTTGCTTTCAGAGAACTCCCCCAGTTATAGATAGATAGTCAAAAGGGGCTTTCTTACTCACAGGATTTCAGGATACTCGTTAATGCCTCACTCCCTTCTTCTACTTCTGACATTCTACTTGAAAGTCTGATATCCGATAAACTAGGTTTAGCTTGAATGTCTTAGTTCACATACTCTACGGGATTTCTTCTTTACTAGAACTCTTTTCTCATGACGTGGTTGGGAACGTTGTGTCATCTGTTCGTTTCGATTCAAAAAGTTTAACTTCGAACTAACCGGGAAAGCAGAAGCGGAACATACTTATATAATTAAGGTACTTCCTTACTTAGAGTGAGAATACTCTTTATATGGCACTTATCCCATCCGAGTACTTACTTGACTTACTTTACTGAAACAGCCTAAGCACCTTTCCCCGGGATTCTTCATAAAACCAGCTTCAGCAGCAAAGACTTCTACTTGAGGACAGTCTACCTTTGGTGGTGTGAGATGCTATTCTTTTATACGGTGGTGTGAGATGTCATTAGACTTTATCATATTCATTTGAATTGAGCGTATTGTAAGACTAATATGGCAAGTCAACCGAGCGTGGGGAACGAACGAGCGTGGGGGTGAGATGCATGCAATTGAAGCAGCTACCTGAAAAGCTGGGTTTGATTCCCTTAGATACCTTTGGGTTTAGCCTTGAGGAAAGACAGCATATACCAAGAAAGAAGAGGTTGGAGGGCTTGACAGAGATGCGCGGGATGCTCCGGAATGAGCCTCAACAGAAAAGAAGGAAACTTCCCTATCTAGTTCAAGTCCTAAAACAACGGATATTGGAGAAGCTGAACGAGAAGAAATAGCCATATCCCTAGGGGCACCTTCGATCGATACTGCCTTAGACCCTGCCCTTGGTCCTAAACCTGCTTACGCTGGAGAAGCCCTTACTTCTTCAGCTTGAAAGACATCTCAGGAAAGAGCTACTTCAACTGAAGAAATTTATTTAGTAGCGAGAACCCTTCCTACTCGAGAATAAGGTCAGGAAGTGAAGCGTTTTTTCAGTTTTTCTTGAAAAATATAGTAAGTGTTATGCGGGGGTGGGGATTCAGACCGATGAGGGGCGTAGGAATTGCCCTTAACTGTCCGGAAGGCTGAAATAGCTTTCTCGGGAGCCTCCGGGAGGTCGGGGTATTCAATCCCAGGATACTCAAGGAGCAGGGCGTCGTATCCCAGGGGTTCTACTAATACATCGTATAGCGGGTCCAGGCTTGAAGTTCTACCAAAAATGGAATGGGACAGTCATTCGAAAATGAGAAAAGAAAATCAGGGTGTCAAGACATCTATATGACCAAGATGGCCATCTCACGAATTGGATTCGAACCAATATCAAGCTACTTTCCTTTAGTAGATCTGTCATCCCCCTCATTATAGTCCTCCTAGAATCAATAGCATTTCGTCGGAATACATCCTGTCTTTTCACCTTAGTAGTCCTATGCATAGTCAGTACTATAGCCCCAATCATGGCTACTAATAAAATCAGACTAGGAACCAAAAACCAGACGGAATAGTAGGTATAAAGTAAATTGCCCAATGTTTCCAAATTAGTCCAACTTCGTACCTTTCCGGCATAAACCATATATCTCAGAGAGGTCGTATTTCTTTGGGTTGGTAGTAATGGAATGCTTTCATTATCTAAAATGAAGAACATTTCCCACCAAAAGATCAGTCCAATAATACCACTCACTGGTAAATAGCGCAATACTTCTTCGTGAATCTCCGCTATTTGAATATGGAACATCATAACAACGAATAGGAATGAAACGGCTATAGCTCCTATATGAACTACTGGGAAGATCATAGCGAAAAAGTCGAGACCTAACAAAAGAAGTAAACCTGAAGTGTTGCGAAAGACTGGGATGGGAAACAAAACGGAATGTACCGGATTTTTAGCACGTACAACCATCAAACCAGAGACCAAAGCAAGGCTCGACAAAACAGAAAGTATCATAGTACGTCGTCCTTCCCTGAAATGGAACTTTCATGCTGGAGCAAGAACTAGCATGAAAGTCGATCTATTACAACCAGCGCGGTTGTTCGTATTTCATTTTCTTCTTCCAAGCCCTTCTTTCTTAGCACTGAGTTACTTACGGAATCTCAAATCTCTCTCGCTTCTTCAGCTTGTTCCTGTTCGTCTATTCGGGACGGGGCAGGCAGCCCACATACATGAAGAGAAGAATAGAGAGGGGGTTATCCTGCTTAAACTTGGGAAGTTTACTACTGGAAATTGGGAAGGGCTATAAGTAGGCCGTTTGCTATTGCTATAAGGGCTGCTCGCCTTTATACGGCTTGGCTTCGCTATCGCTTCTATGTAGTGTAGTGGTCGACCTAAAAAGTCGTATTCCTGCCATGCCTATTATCCAGTGCTAGAAGCTTCGCCAGAAGCAAGCAAGACGAGGTCGCTCTGCTTCGTAGACAAGGCTCGTTCCGTACTTGACTTACGAGCTCGTGTAGTACTCGCCCCTATCTCTTCTCTAAAGGGGCGCACACTCGCTGTCTACTAAATGAGCTCACGAAGCGATCTGGGAGCGAAGCCTTCAATTTAGTTGCTTCCCCCCTTTTCTTTTCCCTCACCCTACCCTTTCATTTCCGCTTAAGCTTCCCCGGTTTGGGGGATTAATTGATTGGATACCCGAGAACCATAATCTTTCCTAGGAACAGCTTCTACGACGATAGATAGGGGTCAGGTTTGTTTGGCATCTATGCCCCCTGCCCTCCAAACAGTATGGGAGCCTTTCAGCTCGTACTGCTCACACTCCTAGATCTTCACGGCACCTCCTCCACCATAGTGTGAGCTGGGAGCAGCTCCGAAAAGCGAGGCCTACTTAAATAAGTAATGAGCTTTCAACAACGTTAACAACACTACGAAAAAAGTAAACTATGGTTGCCCACTGATCTGATCATAGGTGAAATCCAACCCCTTCTCTGCTCCTTTCCTGACCCTTTCTAAGCTCTTGGATCCTGCCCTGCGCCTCTCTAGGCTTCGCTATCGCTCATGACTGGTATATGGATCTCTCTATGTAGTGGTCGGCCTTCTAGAAGCTTCGCCAGAAGCGACTAGTCGCTTCCCGAATGCCCCTTTCCTTCGCTACTAGGAGAGTCGCTAGCTTGCTTCATTATATTCTATAAGCGGAGCGACTTGTCGAGTCTACGAAGCTTCGTAGTTGCTTCCCCCCCTTTTTTCTTTTGCCCCGCCATGCCACTAGATCCATAATGACCGGCGAGTCGGAACATGTATGAATATAACCACGCGGAGCGCCGTACCGGCCTATCGAACGAAGCGAAGAAAGAGATCATTGAGCCTATTTAGCCGAGCGGAACCCTTTTCAAATAATATATATATATATATATATATATATATATAATATATATAATATATATATATATATAGCTAAGGGGGCTGGAATCGCAAGAATTGAAAAGTCCTCCATTGAATGGGATGAGAAAGACAGGTTCGGAAATGGACGGATTAGCAGGAGGAAGGGCGGCCCCACCCTGAAACAAAGGTGTACGTACATAAACAAAGAGACTGGTTATGGCCTTGATAGGGCTCCTTCCCATCTATCTTGACCGGGAAGAGGGGGGAGGCTCTTGCGGAAGCCCTGCCCGCCCTTCTCTATTCTATTTTTAGGATCCCTCTGAGGAGGCTTTCCGGACTCGTAAAAGACGGCTAGGAACAAGAATAGGTTCAGTAGTCTCTTCCGTTGCAGGTCCTTCTCCTTCCGCTGAGATGGCCCTCTTTTTTGTTTTGTTTGTTCACCACGGCACGAAATCATGAAGAAGCTGGAATAACTCAGAAAGAGAGTGGCGCCTAGCCGTTGAGAGCGTCTGTTGTCTTTGTAGAGGAACAGTACGATCTTGGACTGGCCCCCTTCGCATGACCTAGAAATAAAAAGAAGTTCGTGCTACTATAAGGCCTCTAAACTCCTCCCTCAGGACACTGTTGCGTTGCCCATGGGGACGGGCTAGCCCCGACTTCCATAGGTCCTTGGTTCGACCTCCTAATGAGAATTGAGGTCCTTGCACGGGCGTCTCATCCCTAAGACTTGTTTGCTCTGTATGGAGTGCCCCGTGGTTCCTCGAGTGCCATCCGCAGAGAGGAATGCCATCAACTAGGGCGCTATTGGCCACTAACCACTCGCTCGCCGGACGCTCGGGCTCCACGTTTCAAGTTCGTTATCCTAACCGTATCCTCTGCTCCACCGGGAGTTCTGACCCCTTCTTCTATCTTATCTACTGCCTTGCTCCTCGGCTCCATACTGCTCCAGCCGCTCGCTGTAATAGCTTGCTTCTCGGGTAGCTCGCACCCTGGGTGGTGCGGTTGAGCCAGAGTGGGCTCAGCAGTCGGCCTATCTTTCTGGGCGCACGCATAAAGGCATGATTAGTTCCACAAATCTCACTGCACTGACCATAGTAAACTCCTTCTCGTTGTACCGAAATAGAGGTTTGATTTAAACGACCAGGTACAGTATATCACATTTTACACCTGGGGAAGGTACAGCCCAACTATGAAGTACATCAGCAGATGTTACAATAATACGTAGATGACTTTTGGCTGGTACAACCACTCGATTGTCCACTTCTAATAAACGTAATTGACCCAATTCTAGATCATCTTCTGGAATCGTATAACTGTCAAAAGTTAGTGACTGTTCATCAGAACTGTTATAGTCCGAATACTCATAAGGTTGGGTCGACGCCCGTCTCCGCCCAAACTGTACTTGCAAGTTTCCCCGCAAAAAGCTCTCCACGCCTACTCTTAGAAAGAAGACTCTTTTTCTTTTGTTAGTACCGACCGTAAGACCCTTTGTGAGTAAGGGGAATCGAACGCCGGGGAAAGTTTATTGGCAACAGGGAACCCTTTCTCACCCAGTCCTACCTACCCTATGTATTCAAGGGGGGGGGGGGGCTAAAACTGAAAAAGACCTGGTTCCACACATATGAGACAGGCATAAGGTATGGGACGACCAGTTCACCATGGAAAGCGAATTCGATCCTATAGTCGTCTTCTTTGTTCGAGAAATTCGCAGTGGAAAGGGATGCTAGTTGGCTCGGAGAAGTTGTAGGCCCCAATAAAAAATATCAAGATTCCTCACCTATCCTGTCAGGGGCCTAGTTGAACGCTCGAGTATAGATTCCGTATGCTCATCGGCCGGGGCCGACCGGACCGTAGATCTGGATCCATCCATAGACCTGACCTGATATCGTTTGTCCAAAAAGAAAAAAAAGTTGGTTTTTAGTAGTAGTTCATGATACCTCGAATTCCCACGTTCCAGCTTGCATTATGCCAACAAGTCCCACCCCCAACTCTAGCTGAGAAGTTGAGTCACCCTTCTTTTTTTTTCAGAAAAAGAATCAAATAAAGAAAGAGATAGTCTATATCCTGTATCGATCATAGGATCACTCTATGAATAGTTAAATTCTCTGTGACCTCCCACCGTTCACGACATCCCTTGCTTCTCGCTGCGAACGGCTCCTCGGTGGAAGAGTAGAAGCGCTGGTCCCCTTCGGTCAAGTTGCTTGTACCTGTTGTTACCTACCGTAGGACCTCCGTCCCCGAAGCAAAGAAAGAGGAGCAGGAACAAGAGGTTGTCCTCTCCCGGCCCAGTAGTTCCGCAACTACTACCGTGGTTGTTGCCAACGGGGATCCCCCATTCTGAAAGGTTACTGGGCCCAGAGAGAAAGCATAATCTAGTTAGTAGTCCTACAGAAGCCAGAATCAATCCTATAGATTAGAAACTGTAACCTATAATCTTGATGCACTCTAATACCTAAAATATTATATGCATATCCTCACCAGGGAATATGCGCAGAAAAAAGCACCTTTTTTCACTTTATCACTGGATTGCGAACTTACTTATCCTTTTGATGAGAATGCCACTACTCTTACTTACTATCTTCAAACCCGCCTATTGGCGTGTCTGGATCAGGTGAATCGCTTGGCTAGATATATCCTTAAGCGAGATATCGTTAACTCCTTAGTTCCTTAGAAAAGGATAATAAGGGAGAAGAAAAACCCTAGCTTTCTGTCGATCCTCCAACTTGCGTCAGATCCTTTTGCCCCTTACTCTGCTGGATTGAAAGCGGATGCAAGAGAACTATCAATGGCTGCAAGTAGAACTGCCATGGAGCTATATGGATAGCAACTCCCACCGGATGGAGATATCTTAACTTTGATTTCAAGCCTCTGTGTTTCGCTTGCCTAAGGTTAAGGTAAGAAAAAGAGACAGCTACTAGACACTACGGGGAGTGTAAGCGATCTAACAGAACTGGCTTGTTGAACGGAACTTAGACTAGAGATATCAAATGACCTAGGGGACTGGACCTCTAGATGTAGCACTGGATGTAAGAAAAAACTCGACTGCCAAAGCAGCACTTAGCACTCCAACTAATGGCCTTAAGACTGTTGCAATTGGTACAACTGCTTCAATGGGATAGAAGGAAACTGGCTAAAAGGGATTAGAAATGGACTAGTAAGAGACTCCAATGTAACCTAAAACTAAAATTGGAACCCTAGGAGGGGCAACTTCCACTCTTCTTTTCACTCTTTCCATTGTCGTTTACTTTACGAAGCGAAGGAAATCTAAAGGTATGCCCATTTTATCGAGGAGAGGAATTACTAGCTCGCAGGCTTAAAAATGAGAACTTCCTTCCTTGCCCTCGAACCGACTATCCAACGACATGGAACACTTAGCATTGGCCTATCACTCAAATTCAATTTTATAGCACGCCAACAGGAGGGGCTTCTCTTTTTTCTCCCACTAGATAGCTAGCAGAAAGAATGGCAGGACGAAAGAAAGGCTTAGGATAGCGGGAGAGGGTGAATGAAAGGAAAACAACTCAAACTTCTGGCTCGCAAGAAAGGCGAATAACTGCAACTGAATCGACATAGACGGACTTCTAAACTTAGCACAGCGCTTACCTTATAACTTGACTTGGGAGGGGACCCAGCCCTCTAACGTTGCGTGAGGGGTGCAACGGGATGATCTCATGGGGCTGATTTATTAGAGAATGATGTTAAGTAGCCCTCCAACCATCGGCATACCCTGGCCCGTCAGGGTGCTTCTAACACCTTATCGCGTCAATTGAAGTCCACCTTATTGTTGATGAGGCCATTCGATCAATCGGCTCAACCGGATGCGGAAGGGTGGCGGTTTACGATCCTATCTCAACTTTACCTTACCCCCTCCCACCTTCCCTTTTCGCTTCGTATACTCCCCTTTCTTTCAAAGGAATCCCTTTCTTCTCGACCGGATGGGAGGCCTTACCTGGTGAACAGCCTTCCTTACCTTAGGCTTTACGAGGACTCCTTTTTTTACTTCTCCTTTTAGGCAGTTCTCTCTCTCTTTCTCGACTTGCAACTCACTTTTCCCTTTATTCCGCTTCGAAAGGGGTGCGAACGCTAGGTTTTGGTCAGCGGCTTTCCTCAGCCTCAGAGCCGACAAAAGCTTTTTTCTTGATTTAGGAGCGAAAGAAGATGGATCCGTTTAAGAAGAATAAGCAGCTATTTTATCCACTATAGTTCGACTCGAAAGGTCTTTCAGTGACCGAGTTCAGTGACCAAGGCTAGGCAACAACTCACTAGTCGAAAAAGACGCAGCTAGTCTTGGGATCAAGGCTTCTTTCCTTTGCTGAATCAGGAATAGCCGACTCCAGGTAAATGCTTTTCCCAGCTCAAAGGCGATGACTAGTAGATTCGGGGGTACCTATAAAGCGAACAAATGTTCCCATGGTCATGATTGTTGACTAAACTGCCCTTTCTCTGATTCCCCTTGCCGACTCTGAACTAACTCATGCTTGAATGTGAACAACCGATAGAAAGCAGCATTCTACTAATTGGATTACCTTCTTCCCTTCCTTATAGTAGGAATTTCTCTCTCGAACCCTAGAACCTTTGGGCTAGGAACCCGAGAAAAGCGAATGTTCAAAGCTTTCAGCGGGCTAGAGTCGTCTTCTTGCTGTTGTTGAATATGAAGTTGTGATCAGCTTAGCAGTAAAGAGCTCTTGTTTAGCGAGAGTCGTATTCGGATTCTGCTTGAGCGGCCTTCTCTCTCTGAGTTACGGCAAAGGTAGTTCGGTAAGCCTCGTCATCTAGTATGACCAAAGCATTAGCCCTGTCTCTATCCTTGGGCTAAGGGCGCATAGACTGGACTTAGTGAGGTGAGGTAGCTTAGGATGATGAAACCGTACCTTCTCACTTTCGGACTTTCTTGCTGGCTTGACTTCTTGACTTAGAGCTTTCACGTGGCAATCGTTGATGGAAAAAAGAGTGATCAAAATATAAAATAAAGAGGTAGTTGACAGAGGTAGAATCGGCATCTGTCTCGCCTGCTGGAAAGCTTGACTTGGCTATTGAAATCAGCAGCAACAAATCAACTTAATTAAGATTAAGAAGAATCCGTTCTTGGAAGAAGTCCTCACTTACCTTATAGTAAAATATCTGACAACAGATGCGGATTATGTAGCAAATGCCGCTAATGCGTAACACATTGAGTTGGGCAGCTTTCCTTGAGCAGATAGGACACTGCGCCATCAACAGACATACTCGCGAAGAAAGCACCTACCCTGGTGGAACTTAACTGCCTCGATCCTCATCTCGTTCACTCACAGAAGACCTTGCCTAGCTCTACTTTCTTTCTTATACCAGGAAGCCTTTCGCTTGTCCCTTCGCACGTGAATCTTGATATCCCGGCTAGAGAGCTTTGATTTCTTCTTTCCTTGGGGTTCCTTCCCTCACTTGTTACTAGCAGCTCTTCCTTTACACCTGAGAACAACCTATTCTTTTCACAGCGGAAGAGTCGAAACGAAGACCGCAGAAAGCATAGTCAGAAGCCGCATCGGCAGTTCGCGTTGACGGCGTTAACAGAATCGGAGAATAAGAGCTTAACGCAGCTCGACCCTCGGGAACAGATTCATAGGACCGATATCTCAGCTCATATCGGCCGTTTTAAGCCAACTAATCGGCCAAGAGCGTTTCTTTTGAATTGGCACTGGACTGACATCTGGAAAGCTTATGACATGGTGAGATGGTGCTCTAAAGTTGAGCAACAGCAACTTTCCTTCTAAGTTGATTGTATCTTCACATGCCTGATAACTACAAAGAAAGAAAGTACTCTAACTAATGGTCTTCTTGAGAGGGTTGGATGGCCATAGAGGCAAAAGGCAAGGATTCCATTCGTCTTTTTTTGTCCTAGTCATGGAGGTTCTGGCTTTCTTTCTTAGTTTGACTAGCCATTGATTGACGGAATTTCTAAATCAAGAATTTAGAACGTTCTTAGGATTGTTAACTTATACTCAGACGCCTTGATCTAGTTGAATTAGTGGACGACTCAGAAAGCGGAGTCATAAAGGGATTGTTTGATCGACTACTTGATAGTGCACTGAAGGATTATCCAAAAAAAGGGACTCGGCTTACTCACCATGAATGCACCTTAAGGGGGAGTTCCTGGGTCACGAGTCTAGTAAGGAGAGACTTATCAAACAAAACAAACACAACCAATATCTTTACTTTAATATAAGAGTCTTGCTATTGCAAATGCAAATCTCGCAATCTTCAAGCAGGATAGGCAGTGTGCATTCTTCTCTCGGCTCTAGAACAGAAATCGGAGAAGTTAGTCTTTCTTCTTTGGCAAAGGCCCTAACTACAGCTATTAGTAACTCTTTGTCTTATTGATTTGAGTCATCAAGGAAAGACAGTGACGATCGGTACGAAAGGAAGGCATACTAGCAGGGGATTCGTACTAATAGCGGTTATTCTGCTATAGGAGCCGTTATGTAGCATCTGAGAACAACAAAGCACACGAAAAGACTTGCAAGAGTAAGGTAAGGCTTGACTTTACTAGTCCTATCGCTACGACCCTGACTCGGTTACACATGCCTTGTTTCAAGTTTGAATGTAATGCCAAAGGTTTCTAATCCATTTACAGTCCCGAGAGAGGAGCGAGAGAACAACGAAAGGATCCGGCATAGCTTCTTGAAGCGACCTTTCTTTCAATTTCAAGCCAGCCAGCTTCAGTAATTATCTTCCCTTAATTCTGACCCGAGAAGACGGCACTGATTTCAATGATCTTCTTTACTTTATTTTAGTACCTTGACCAAGTCAGCGTAGAGCGGAGAAGGTGATCTCTATCCATAGGCTTCTGCCACGGAAGATTCTAATGTCACATCTTCCTTTGGATGTCAACAGCTTAACCAATCGGGAATCAACTATCCGAATCCGAGTTGGCGAGAAAGACCTGACATTGGCCTTTATGATCTTGCTTCCCTTGCTTCCCTTCCTTTTACTTTAATAGAATGTCCTTCCTTCTTGAACTCCAGTCACTGCATAGACATCTCCTTCCAAACCTCTAGAGATGAAGATTAGGCTGTCCGTAGGCTTTCTTCCTCGTGTTATAATTTCTTTCTTTAGGCGGGATAAATCAATAGTTTAAACCTTTCTTACAGTTCATACTGTAAGTCTTTCTTTTTATTTATCACCTACTTTTTTGTATATAGAAATAAATCATTGAAGTCTTAACTGGTTTCAAAGTCTTTCTTTTTGTTACAAATGCCAATGCGGGTAAACTACCCTTTTAGCTTGAGAGAATCTAGCTGGACTAGCCTATCCTTTATACCGCCCCGGCCTTCATCCAGTAAAAGATTAGCTCGTGCCTCTTCCTTGGAGGACCTTACCAGGCATGAGGGCAAGCGCTTGGAACTAGAAGCCTTGTCTTTTGACTCATGTCACGTCGATCGTTGATAAGTGCCCGATCTGGGATAGGCTGGCTGGGCACAGTTTTGAAAATCGGATTATTGAGTTCGCCTGGACTACGCTGGCTTTGGGATGCCAGGCTTGATGCTTCAAGAAAGTTCCAAACCAATCTCTGGCACTTGGTAAAGATTTGTGATTTCCGGGTGATGACAAGTAACTCGTGAAGGTCTATAGTCAACTACGGCTATTGAGCGTCGAGATGCTTTACCACGCGAGATCCTTTCCTCACGCACGGTACTTATATAGTAGAGCAGCAGCCACCGGCTTTATTCGCTTGGTCGAAACAGACAGATATGGGGAGAGAGAAGGGTAAAAATCTCTTTCTATTCACAGCGTTGGAAATGCCCGAATAAGTCGGCTCTAGAGCAGTCATTGAA